CCTGTACCCTCCCACCTTCTTCCTGGACTCCTCCTCTTCCTCTGCCTCCCCTTCGCCTCAAGATAACCACTCCCCCAAATACTGTCCTTGGCCCCCCTGCCACTCCAGAGCCCTCAGCTGCTCCCAGCTATTCAACTGCTCACTTGCTTGGCAGAAGCTCAGGGCCACTGTGTGCTCCATGTTGTCGTCTGAGCTGGAGAACAGGCTTGTGTCCCAGCACAGCAGACTTTACCGTGTCATCAGCTGGCCCGCCCGAGGGTCCTTGATTTCCCCAAAAGAATCTGAATGACCCTAACCGGTTTGGCTCAGTGGATAGAGCATCGGCTTGGGGACTAAAGGGTCCCAGGTTCGATTCCAGTCAAGGGCATGTGCCTGGGTTGCGGGCACATTCCCAGGAGGGAGTGAGCAGGAGGCAGCTGATCAATGTTTCTCTCTCATGGATGTTTCTAACTCTCTATCCCTCTCCCTTCCTCCCTGTAAAAAATCAATAAAATATATTTTTAAAAAAGAAAAAAAAAAGACTGGAAGCCTTTTTCTTACTCAAGTGGCTGCCCGGACACACTTCCTGGGCCCCCTGATCCCTCATTCAGCCTCCGTGACCCATCAGCACAGCCCCTCTCCTCTGCCATCTCCCCATGAAGCTGGGGCTCCCCACAGCCCCGGGCTGTGCTGCTCTCGGCTGCTGTCCGGGCTGCCAGATACATTACTGGGTCAAGCTTACACTTACACCTTATCTGAAACTCACCGGGCGCCCTGCATTTTTATATGTCAGACTTGGCAACCTAACCCCGGCTTATGTGGCTCAGTTGGTTGGGGACGTGCCCAGGTTGTGGCTTATCCCCATTAGGGGGTGTTCAGGAGGCAGCTGATCCATGTATCGCTCGGAGGCAACCTATTGTCTCTCTCCCTCCCTCTCTCTCTCTCTCTCTCTCTCTCTCTGCCTCTCTCTCTAAAAACAACAAAAAATCAATTTAAAAAATCCAAATTTGGCAACCTTAACTGCTGTACCCCTGGGACCCAACCCCAGGCCTGGCTCAGTAAGTGTTAGCTGGAGGAATAATGGTGGCAGCGGTGGTGGCAGGCGCAGGCGCTGGGGGCACCGAGGAAAGGTAACAGCCTCCCTGGAGGAGGTGACACCTGAGCCAAAGCAGGTGAAGATATTAGGTCATGGCATCACCAGCCCCCACCCCATGGGGATGCCGCTCTAATGGGCTGAATCGAGTCCCCTAAAAAGATTACGCTGAAGCTCTAACCCCTGGTGCCTGCGAACGAGACCTTATTTGGAAAGAGGGTGTTTGCAGATGTAATTAAATTAAGGCTCCGGGGATGAGATCATCCTTGATTTAGGACTGGCTTTCAATCCAGGGACTGGCGTCCTTATAAGAGAAAGCGGGGGTGGGGGTTGAGGCCATGGACATAGAGGAGCTGGCCAGGTGCAGGCAGAGGCGAGAGCGGAGAGGTGCGACCTAGCCGGGGTGCCCAGGGTGTCCCTCCGCAGCCAGGGAGAGGCGTGGAGAGGGTTCTTCTCGGAGATTTTGAACTTCTGGCCTCCAGAACTGTGAGGACATAAGTTGCCATTGTGCTCAGCCACCCCGCTGATGGCAGCCCCGGGACTCACATGCCCCCAGGCGCTCTCTTTCCCAGGCACAACCTGTAAGACTTGTCCTCCCCTGACCCTTTGCCCCTGGGACCCCCTAGAATAGCAGAGCGCTCTCGCAGCCAGCCCCCAAGGTGCCCCAGTGATCCTCAGCTCCTGGCATTCATGACCTTATATCGGCCCCTCCCACACTGAATGGGGCTGAGCTGTGACAACAACAAAAACAAACAAAAAACACCTGTAGACGTGACATGTGTGAGTCCCAGGACTAGGTTCCCGAACGGAGACCAAACTCCTGCCTAGTCCGCCTGACTGCTCCCTGCGGGGAAAGCCAGACGCCAAGCTGCCAGGACACACAGGCTGCCCCTGGAGAAGTCAGCCCCCACCTGCTGACCCAGGGAGCGAGCACCCAGGACTGTCCCACACCAGGGGAGCCTTCAGATGACGGACGTCCCAGCCAACATCTCGTGGCAACCCCCGTGGGAGACCCCAGAGCAGAACCACCCAGTACAATCACACCTGAGATGGGGACTCACAGCAGCAAGCGTCAGGGCTACTTGTCAGGCGGACCGTTGCTGCCTGACAGATACACAGCTCCCATCAAAGTCCGAGGCTCGTGGTTCTCAACTGCAAGGTCCTTGGGCACCACCCTAGGCGCTAGAAGTCACAGGAGACCCTTGGTGACCGGCTTTCGCCGGGACAGCTGGCCTCGCTGGCCTCAGGAAGGTGAGGGGCTCAGGTGGTCATGGAGTCCACCGCCCTGGCCAGCCGGGGAGGGGGTTGGGATGTCCACAGCCTCTGCAGGCCCTTGTCCAGGTGCTGTGCCCAGAGGCCACGGCCCCGCGTGTGTATCCCAGGAATGCTGTGACCAAGTATCCCGGACCGGGTGGCTTAAACCACAGCAACTTATCTCACGGCCTGGAGGCCAGAATCTGAAATCGGGGCCTGGCAAGGTGGGGGGCCTTCTGAGGGCGTGAGAGAAGGGTGGTTTGTGATGACCCTCTCTGTTCACTGGCCTTCTCCCTTCGTGGCGGCCTGTGTCCCCTTCTCGTAAGGACCCCAGTCCATTGGAGCAGGGCCGGCCCTAGCGACCTCACTTCAATCTGATCGCCTCTGGAGAGAGCCTACCTCGAATCAGGTTGCATTCTGAAGTCCTGGGCGTGGGGACTTACACAGGAATTTGGGGGAGGGCACCGTTCAACCTATAACATGTCAAGGTCTTGAGGGCCAAGGTCTTTCTGCCCATAATTTATTCTGTTTCCCAGCCTCTTTCCTTCTGACTCCCGCCACCGATTGTGTGCCCACGGCAGACGTTACTAATCCCTCGTGCATCCTTTCTGCAGAGCAAGGTGCAGACCAGAGGCCACACCAGCCGTCTCCAGGCAACCTGTCCGCCAGAGCTGCTGGTCCAGAGGAGAGGGAGGCGTTGGGGGAGACAACGAGCAATAGATGCTTGTTGAATGGATGACTGAATACATCCAAGCTACAAACGTCAAAATCCATCCACGCGTCTGTCTGTCCCAGGCCTTCTGTCCTGCAGACTCACCACCGGGCCTGTGGTCGGGAGGAGCTGTCGCCCTCTTTGCTGGTTCTCGTCTTAGGGACGGTGGGCACTGGGGCCATGACTTCGGGTCCGGAGCCCATGTCGGCCAGGGAAGAGGCTCTAAAACTGAGACCAAGTTTAAGGACGTGCAGCGGGCCTGAAAGACCCACCCTCTTCTCCTGGTTGTAGCTCAGCCAGTGAGAGTGCCAGGAGGGTGCTGTGCCAGGGCGGTGGGTGGGCAGCGGGGCCAGGGTGCCTGCCCACCCAACAGCCATGCTAACTGTGCTCAGGTGAGGGGCGGAGATCCCTGGTTGGTGTGCTGGTCCAAACCCTTACGCACCTATCCTCCGCTGGGGATTGGCTTAAAGGACAGGGATTCTTGGGAAAGGTATTTCTCCCAGCCCTCGCTGGTTTAGCTCAGTGGCTAGAGCACCGGCCTGCAGATTAAAGGGTTCCAGGTTCGGTTACTGTCAAGGGCACATGCCCGGGTGGCGGGCTTGATCCCCAGTGTGGGGCGTGCGGGAGGCAGTTGATCAATGACTCTCATCCTTGATGTTTCTATCTCTCCCTCCCTCTCCCTTCCTCTCTGAAATCAATAAAATATGTTAAAATAAAAAAAGGTATTTCTCGCCGATGAAAGAAAGACGCCGAGGAGAAAGCCCTGCCCTATGTCCCTCTCCTCCCATCTGGAGACTGTGCTTCGAGGGGGCTGCTCGGAGCAGCTGCAGCCACCGGTGACCTGCTATGCAAGAGGCAGAGCTGAGAGGCGAAAGCACCGGCGGCCTCAGTGACCAGCGAGCGTGTCCGTGTGCTGACCCCAACCTCACACTTCCTCGGGGGGACAATAGGGTGTCTGCTCTTCTCCACGTGCCAAGAGTGGAGGAACAGCCAACAGCGTTTCCGCTGAAAGGAGGTGGGCACAGAGACAGGAAAACCAGGGCGCTGGCTGCCGCTGGTTTGGGATCCGTCTCAGCTTTGCCACTTTCAGGCGGTGAGATCTTAGGCAAGTCACGCCCCTCCTGTAAAATGAAAATAATTAGAAGGCCTGCCTCACAGGGCTGGGCTGGGGGAAATGAGATAATTTAGGTAAGACTTTTTTTTAAATATATTTTTTATTGATTTTTACAGAGAGGAAGGGAGAGAGAGAGTTAGAAACATCGATGAGAGAGGAACATCGATCAGCTGCCTCCTGCACACCTCCCACTGGGGATGTGCCCACAACCCAGGTACATGCCCTTGGCCAGAATCGAACCCAGGACCCTTCAGTCCGCAGGCCGACGCTCTATCCACTGAGCCAAACCGGTTTCGGCATAGGTAAGACTTTTTTTAAAATTAATTTTTATTTATTGATTTTGAGAGAGAGATCCATCTGTTGTTCCACTTTATATGCATTCATTGGTTGATTCTTGTATGTGTCCTGACCGGGGATTGAGCCTGCAACCTTGGCATAGCGGGCCAATGCTCTAACCAACTGAGCTACCTGGCCAGGGCCTAAGTGAGGCATTTTGCACACAGTGGTTGGTACCTCCAAGCACTGAATTCATTTGCTTAGTCATCCACTAATTTATTCAACAACAGTTATTGAACATCTAAGTAATTGTACTAATTTGAGGTCTGAGGATGTAGCTGTGAAAAAATAATAGGCAATCAGAGAAATTGGCTGTTATATTATTATAAGAACTCGACTCTTCCCATCATTATTCATGGCTTTGCCGACAAGGCGCTCCGAATATGTTGGTGAGAGTCAGGGGAGATTTGGCGGAAATGACTTTGCTGGGTCTGGCCCTGTAGGTGGCGGTGGAGGGAGAGGGGCCCGGGGGCAGCGAGGAGGGCTCTGT